TTGTGGTTGAAGCTGAAGAAGTCATTGACAGGTAGGACACTGTAGCAGAGAATTTTGCATACTATGCTTAGGTCAGACCATTGGTGGTGCAGTTCCAGGTTGTCCAAGCCCAAATTTTCAAACCTGGTGGCCTAAGGGATTCTATTGTGAGCAGAGGGGTGGAGGACTCTTCTCGTGAAATACCTCTGGACCGGCTCAATTGTGTTAATGTCCGATATACAGTGTGGGTTCCAGGCAAGCAAACTGTATTCGAGAATTGGTCTGGCAAAGGTTTTGTATGCCCTAGTTAGCAATACAATGTTGCCAGAGAAGAAGCTTCGCAAAATTAGGTTAAGAACTCTTAATGCCTTTTTGGCAATGCTTTTTACAGTGGGCTCTTTTGGATAAGAAGCGAACATTTTCAAACAAAAAAAACCCCACAAGAAAATCCAGTTACCTTTTTGAGAAACCACCTTTGGGATAACCATGACCTGGATGATTGAGAATCTCCATAGACATTTTGTAGAGAATGTTGTTGAAATTAAGGATAGCTTTGTTTCACTTCCTAGGCTAAACCAGGATGAGGGAAGGCCCTCTTGGAACTGCTGAGGATCAAGTCATGAGTGCAGCAGCATTATTATTATTATCCACAGATCAAGCAACTTAAATAAAAGCCAAATCTTTGAATGGTTTGCTTGGCTCAATTTCTCTCGTTGTGTTTCAAGTACAATTGTGCAAGAGTGAAGGGAGGGGGAGGTTTTCAGTAGTGCTGCTGTACACATTGCATTCATTTGCAGTGGAGGGGGAGATAGCAAGGAAGCAAATTCTTGGCTCATCTGAGCAACTATTGTTGATGCTTTGGAAAGATGCACCAGCAAAGCACATTTTCCAGATGTCCATGTTTTTTTTTTTTGTTTTTTTTTAAATCTTAATCCAAAGTACAGCTCCATACAGCAGGCCACCATCATCCGTCTGAACGGTATTTTAGGCAGAGCATTGTGGCTTTTCCGTTCAGGGAATCCTCTTTCGTTCAGGGAATCCTCTTCCATTCCATTTCATTTGCATTTACATTTTCAATGTTACTTCTTGTTCACTCGATGGAACATTGCATTCCATCGTTTCCATAAGGGAAAGGGTAGAATTCACAGCCACAGATTCTCCTCCAGATGTGGCAACAAGTCAACAGTTTAGATGGTTTTAAAAAGAGCTTCAAGATGTCAGAGGCTACAAAGCTTGATGGTTAATTGTTATTTCTGGAATTATAGGCAGCAGATCTTAAATGTCACACCTGAAGGAGCAGGCAATAACATATCTATCCATGGATCAGGGTTCTAAAGCAACACCCCCAATGAAAGAAGACTCCAAGGCTTGAAGTTCCTCAGAGTTCCATTTTATTACAGATGTGATATTGGCACATATGGGAAAAGCCGAATCTGAAAGCTTCCAGGTTTTACCCACCCAAAAGAAAGTCCAAATCCCTGCCCAGCACCCACATGTCCATCCCAGGGTCAAAGCACCATCCCAACTAGAGATGCCTCCCAGTCACACCCCTCCAGGTGCAGGGCAAGACGTCCTTGATTCTCTGAGAAAGGAATGTTGTTATGGCTCCATATATCTCCCCAGCTCCATACAGTCCCCTCTCCCGGTTTTTCAGAGATTAAATGTGGCAGGTTTGCAGTTCCAATGGCCAAATTGGCTTCCAGGCCTGACACCATACTTGTGAATATCCGAAGTCACCGGTGTCAAATTCGTGATGTCACATTGCCATCACGTGACGTTTTTCTCCATTTGTAAAGCTGGGGAGGGGGGCATGGCCTGAACATGACCCTGTTTGACACCCCTGTCCTAAATGCAACTGGTTGGCCACTATATCTCTGGAACGTCTCTTCTGTAATATAAAAAAAATCCAGAATACCTACTGTTTTCAAAGGACACTTCAGGTATAAGGTTTTTTTTATTTTTTACTTTCAAGTACACTCACAAATATACATTCTTGCAAATACTATTAACATGTGTCTATTAACTATTAATCTTTATTACTATCTTCTTACAAGTGTAGAATACACAGTTGGGGGTCACTTTCTTGCCACCCCATGCCTCCATCTTGTTTTGCAACAACCCTACTCCTTCCTTCTTCTCAACCTCTCTTCTCTCCCTTCTTCTTTCCTCCTCTCCTTCCTCTTTTCTTCTTCCCCTCTCTTTCCCCCACTCCTCCTCCCTCCTTCTCCTTCTTACCCTCTCTCCTACTCTTACTTCCCCTCCCTTACTTCCTCTGCCTTGCCCTTTCTTAAGGAAGACGCTCCAGATCCACTGTCTAGAGCAGCGATTCGGAACCTTGACAACTTTAAGATATGTAGACTTCAACTTCCAGAATTTTGGGAAATGGCCTTGTATTCAGTCCAGTCTGTGATTATTTAATAGACAAATTGTGTTTGTGGTGTGACAGAGAGAGAGAGAGGGAGGAAGGGAGGGAGGGGGTTGTATGTGTGCGTACTCAATTGCTAGGTTGGGGATATTCAAAAACCATAAGGTCTGCATGTAGGTAAATATATCAGGACAAAACTCTTAATACCGAATAGAGTTGGAAGGGACCTTGGAGGTCTTCTAGTCCAACCCCCTCCTGCTCAAGCAGAAGGCCCTTACCTTATCAAGTGGCTGTCCAGTCCCTTCCTAAAAGCCTCCAGTGATGAAATACCCACAATTTCCTTTTAGACTAGGATAGCTAACTGTTTAGGGAGGAGGGTAATATGACGACAACCAGGAAGAGAGAGAATGAAATGATGAACAGCACTTCAGAATATATGTTACACAGGCTTAAATTTATTGCAAACAGAGGCCATCTGTATAATTCATGGATCTTTCTTACCGGTATGAGAAACGGGATCATAGGATAGAGTTTAGAATAGAAGAGAAGAGAAGAGAAGAGAAGAGTTGGAAGGGACCTTGGA